CTCCAAGCTCTTTGCACTGTATATCCTGCCTCCTGACCCCACCTTGGGTGCTTCCTCAACCTAGGCAGGGCTGTCCAGGCCACAGAATTTTGAATATAAATCCACCTGGGGGTTGGCTTTCCAACTTGCCCCAGGCCACACATCGTCAGGTGGCTGAGACTGTTCAAAGCCACTTTGTTACAAGGAGGAATCCTTCTCAGTAACCTCCCCCAGATGGTTCTTGGCTCCTCCTTCTGACAAAAGGAGGATTCCCCCTTTTCAGTTATTTAAGACAGGGCTCCTCCCTGGCCCCATCTGCCCTTTCCAGGCCAGGCACCACCAGTCCTCTCTGCTGTTTCTCATGTAGCATGGTTCTAAGCCCCTTCCCTGTCCCCTGCATTCCTGTTGCCTGCCTCTGGATGTCAGTCCCAGGAGTTCATCCCACTGTGATACAATGCTCTGGCACGAACTATCACAGGATACTAAGTGTAGCTGTTGCAAATATTAGGAAACCCAACCCAAAGTTACTTAAGCAAAAAAAAAAAAAAAAAAAAAAAAAAAAAAAAAGGATTTATTGGTGCATGCAACTAAAAGGTAGTCTAGCTTCAGGCATGGTTGGATCCAGAAAAAAACGGCATGGCCAGGATCCATGCCTCATCTCTGCTCTTTTGGGGGACTGGCACCACTCTCCAACAACCTCTCCCTTCACAGTCCCAAGGTGGCTGCCCCAACTTACCAGGGCTACATCCTTGCAGGCCCAGCCCAGGGGGAAGGAGAGAGCATCTCTTCCCTCGGCCATCCAACACATGTCCTGGTCCTTCCCCATTGGGCCAACTCAAGTGCTGTGCCATGTGAGCCAGTCCCCACAGCCAGCAGTTAGGGTTTTGCCATTTAGCCTGGGTCCAAGCCACCTATGCCACTGTCCTATTTGCGACCATTTGCAGCTTGTTCACCAGGAAGAGATGGGCACATTGTCCTCAGATTTAACCAGTGTGTCATCAATACAGTTTGCCCAAATATTTAATCAAAATGCTGAATAGCACCAAGGACACAGCCTGAGGCTCAAAGGTAAAGACCCAAGTTTGGATTTGGATTGACCTTAGCTATTTAATCAGCTGTGTTACAAACAATGCCAGCCATTCAACAGGTTTTACATTCCCTTAAGTGTTCTGTCATCTGGTTCATGTATCTCCATTTGCAGATCCTGAGATATTTTATCAGGTGCCTGGCTGAAATCCAGACACACTGTTTCCAGTCTGGCCCTGATCTACCAGAACAGTAACTATAATAAGGGAAGCTGGTCTGGAGTGATGGGTCTGTCGGAGTCCCAGTATGTCTCTCTGTGTTACCACTTTCCTTAGTCATCTGTAGTTGACAGAGAAGCTCCACCAGGATCATGCTTGAGATTGGCGTCAGGTCATCATGCTGTGGCCCCTTCAGGACATTTGTTGGGTTTTATATTTGTCTGGCTTCCATTCCAGGAATGGACATGACCAGCATGGAAAGATGGCCCAAAACCAAGAACAAAAACATTGACAAGAGACATGGAGTAGAGAAGCATGCAGGGCAGGCTGAGCTCAGGTCCAGCTGAGGCTTGTGGGAAATGCCAAAGCCACATGGTGCAGGAGGGGGCTTGGAGGAGGAAGACTAGGAAAGGGCAAGGCTGCTGACTGGGGAGCTCTGGGAAGCCAGCCTTCCCATCCCACCATTTTGCAGCTGAGGACACTGAACTGGAAGGGCAGGACAAACTCTAGTAAGAAGGCACCGAAAACCAAGAAGACGTGATCAGAGAGGCCAAGGGGTTGTTTTGAATTTTTTTTT